TCACGGGGGGCTTCTCCTCACCCAACTCCCCAAGTCCTTCTCCTCAGGGTGCTCCATCCAGTCCTCCTCCACCTCTGTTTGTGCTGGGGATTGCCCTGACCCAGGGGCAGGACCTTGTGCTTGGCCTTGTTGAACTCTCTGAAATTCTCATGGTCCCACCTCTCCAGGTCCCTCTGGATTCTGTCCCTTCCTTCCAGCCCCTTGACTGTCAGGCACTGCTATCCCCCTTCCACATGCTCCAGAGCTTGCTGAAGGACTGGAAGTGTCTTCATGCTCCCAACCTTGTCACGCTGAGGAACACCCCTCAAACAGAGCACCACAGTTGTCTTTCCTCCTTGTAGATACCAGAGTAGTGCTTCATACACTATAAATCCCAGCATCATTTGGGAACTGTGCCTTTTAAGGAGACTTTGTTTGTGATGGTCAGTGAGCTTGGTGTGGAATAAGCTGGTTTGATCCTGTGAGAAATATCTCTGGTTCTCCTTTCTGTTACTTGCTCTAACGAGAGGTGATAACTGCCTTTGTTCATTCAGTGTAAGTTCTGCTGTGAGTGGCAGCGACCTCCAAAACTTTGCTGCAAGCTCCAGACAGGGCTGGGAACTTTCATCCTCTTTAGAGATCTCAATACTAAACCCCTTGAGGTGTCTCTCAATGCTTTTTGCAGGCAGTGGCAGTGCTGTGAGGCTCCGTGCCGGAGCCTGACTGCAGGACTATACTGGTGGCAGTTACTGTGGTATTTAGACAACATGATAAGTTCTAGGTAATTCTCATTTGAGTTCTCTTGCCTTGATCTCATCTAGAGAGGCATCTTTCTTCTGCTTAAGTTTACCTGGAGGTGCTAACAACTAAACCCTCCCAAAGGAAAGGTATGTGGGACCTACAGCACTCTCCTCTGCTCCAGTACTTCTTCTGAGGAGTGACGGCCCCACGTAACGTGGCTTCAAGTAGCTCAGTGGTTGAATTAAGTCCCTCTTTCCATGTTGCACAGCGTAAAGGGTCAGGTCACTGCCTTTTGCCCTGCGGCTGGCAGAAAATAACTGCAAAATGTGAAGTTTGGGGCAACGTCTCATTCATCTCCCCTGCGTTACTCAACCTTCATGCTGCGCGGTCCTGGCGTGCGGAAGCTGGTGCCTTTATACCACCCTGTTTCCCAGCTGCTGGTTTCCTTCCTGCCCTCTCCAGAGCAGAGACACGTGGCCAAACACACTTCAGCTTTGTTGCAAATTCTGTGCTCTTGGTATGTCTATTATAGACACACTTGCACAACAGGGAGTTAAGCTGAGCTGCCTTGGCTGTACTGCTGAAGTAAGTGATTTTTAAGCTATGCACCAAGAAGAGAGGTTTTCTCCCTTTGCAATCAAGCTGCTGTGCAGCTGGAAGCAGTGGGACAGGAGTGCTGCTCTCCCTGCCCTTTCCAACAGCAGAGCTCTGCTGATGAGCCTCCAGTTACCTTAGGAACTTTCTTTTTGAGTGGAGCTGAGCAAAGGGAAGAAAAAGGCATGTTTTGCTTCGCTATTCCAAGTGTTCCTCCTTATTTCCAAGCACTTTCCTCCCAGCCTGACCATCCATGCTTTTTGGATGGTTCTGGTTTGCCTTTCCCCTACCTTTAAGGCAGTTTCTTGTCCTTGTGCAGTCATCTTCTGCTGGACTTTGGTCAGGCTGGGAGCTCATCCAGGCTGGATTAAAGGGTGCCTGTGCCACCATGCAGTGGCTGTTGTGGATTAACTGACTTGTAAGCTTGTGCTGTCAGCCCATGTGTCTGCAGAACCAAGTGAAAGCCTCCAGAGGAGCAAGCAGTGAACTAAAACCTGTGTCTTACCAAGGACTTGAACCTCATGGACCAGCAACCAAAACCTCCTGGTCTGGCATCGCTCAGCACAGGGTGATTCATAAACTAGTGCGACCTGTTGCAGAGGGAGTGCCTGCTATCGAGGAGAGGGGGAAGTTACTCATTAACTGCTCTGCAGGCATCTGAAGTCTGTGCTGGAACCTCAGAGAGTGGCTCTGGCAGGGTTCACACAAAGACTTCTCTGCAGCACACGGACTTGCTCAGCCCCCCCTTCCCTTGTCACAGCCTCAGTTGCTGCTCACTCCATTAACTACAAGATTAAAATCACTGATCTTGAGACATGGGGTGCTGAGGGAGGGAGAAAAAGCCACTTTCTGATGGTTTTCCCATAGCCAGCTACAGGGTGGCCAGGCTGTCCTTGCAGGAGGATTCCCCACTTCCAAAAGTGTCTCGTTTCTCTAGTAACCGGGGACAGAAGCACTCAGAGGTCAAACTCTGGCTGTCAAAGAGGGACCTCTGTATGGAAAGGAGCGTGTACAGAAGAGAAGGTGAAATCAGCTCAGTGCATTGCAGGTGAGGGAAGAAAGGTGCTCTTCCAGCAAAGGAGCAGAGAACCTATTTTAAACTAGCAGGTGATTTGATGGAGATGAGTGGGACGTGAACACAGCTGTTAGGTAGCAGCGTTAAACCCCCCCAAAGTAATGGGGGTCACACCTCCAGTTCCATTTCCCTGGGTGCTTCACCGTTTTGGAGCAGCCATTCCAAGTGCCCTGGGTGGCAGCCAGGCCCACTGTACCTGGATGCTCATTTTGGGAGCCTCTCCTCTGCTTGGTGGGTCCTCACTCGCTTTGTGGCACCAGGGAGGTTTAGGAGGTGTCCAGCAACATTCTGACCGTGGATGAATGAATCCATTTCCCATTTCAAGGCCCTGGAAATGAGGAATAACTCGCTGTGGGTAGGTGTTGGTCATCTGCAGCAAGGGCTTCTGTGCCGCCAGTGTGTTGGAGTCCTTCAGAAGTACCCCTTGGCTGCACAGGAGGTTGCTTCTGCCTGCAGATCCTTGCTGATAGTCACCTCCTGGGTTAGTTCAACTCCTTGCCAGCCCCATCTGGTTCCCAGCTTATAAGTGGGATGGTGGGCTGGCAGCAAGGACAATGGATAATGTCTAAGCTAATGATGAGCTTTGCTCAGTGCTGTTTTCTCTTTGCTTTCTCCACTTACAGGACCCCTCGGTGACCCAGCTCACAAACACCAGCCAAAGTGGCTTGGATGAATTCAACCCCTTTTCTGAGAGCTCCCAGCTGGTACGTGCCTCATGTCTCTGCACTTGGGTGTCTTGGTGGTGGTTATAGTGGTATAGAAGGTCCCTTGGTAGGCAGAGCTTCAAAACAGTGAGGCATTCCCAGGAGATCTCCCCGTGGACAGTGTAGCTCGTTGTGTGCATGGCGAGCTGTGAGCAGCTGCTCCTGCACTGGAGCACTAACAGGCTCCCAGCTGGAGCTCTCCCCTCACACGGAACAGCTTCTCACACTAGCTGCTGGCTCACAGTGAAGCTACATGAAGTGTGAAGGGGAAGATGCTTTGTGGCAGGAGGCATCAATATTTATCAGGTCTCTGGGCTGGGAGCTGAGCTGCTGCAGTGATACCACTGATGGGTTGCTGCAAGAGCTTCATGCTTATCTCCTGGCTGCTGCTGTGTGTGGGGTGGGAGAAGGAGAACAGGACAGCAGGGTGAAGTGATATTGGAGGTTGAAAGAACTGATCACAGTCCCTTTTTGCTTCTCCTTTGCCTAATGTCCATAACCCTCAGGTGCTGCTCACCCAGTGCATTAAGGAACTAACAAGCTTTGGAAAAAGCAGAGTTGCTTTGTGGTTTAGTAGTGCTACAACTCACAGTATCCATTGCTAAATGAAGCAATCTGTAATGGTTTTGCCTTGTTGTCTGTGATCTACCCTCAGACAAATGCAGCCCGGACGACACCGGCCACACAGCCCTCGGGCCACTCGCAGCCTGCGGTTCTGCAGACATCCGTGGAGCCCACTCCCCAGGTACAGCAACATGGGCTGGGCATGGGAGGGAGCAGACCTGGGCCTCTGGGGCACGTGGGAATAGGAGGGGAACAGGATTCCCTGGGATTGGGGTTGGGAAGCTGCAGGTCATCACTTCATCATTCTATTCATCAGGGCCTGGAGGGACAGGACAAGGGGAATGGCTTTAACCTGCCAGAGGGGAGATTGAGTTGAGCTCTGCTGAGGCAGAAGCTCTTCCCTGTGAGGGTGCTGAGGCGCTGGCACAGGGTGCCCAGAGAAGCTGTGGCTGCCCCATCCCTGGCAGTGTTCAAGGCCAGGTTGGACACAGGGGCTTGGAGCAACCTGCTCAAGTGGAAGGTGTCCCTGCCTGTGGCAGGGGGTTGGAACTGGATGAGCTTTAACGTCCCTTCAACACAAACCAGTCTGGGATTCTGTGATTTCTTAAAATCACATTTGTTCCCATCTTTGAAGTGGATCCCTATAGGGAACACACAGAGTTCTTTTTATGCCTTTTCCCCTGTGCCTCTGATATCAGAGCTCGCTTTGCCTTGTAGCCTGTTTGCTCTGGCTTCCCTCTGCTGACACAGGAATGTGTCCTGCTGATGCTTTTAGTTCTGGTTCCTTAGTTTTGGTCAGACACACTCAATTCCAGGCATGTAAATGCAGTCCAGCTCTACATTGCTGCCACTGCTTAGGCTGTCTGTCAAGTACCCGACTGCCAGGACCACCTCATCCAAGGAGCAGAGAGGAGGAGGAGGAGGGATCAGTTCTCAATAACAAAAGGGGATAAGAGATGCTGAAAGGTGCTGCAGACAGCTCCTGCCTTTCCTTTGGACCTCCTCTCCTATCTGGGAAGAAATTGTCCTGGTAAACTCCAGAGTCCTGCTTGCTGCTGTGTTGTAAGGAGCTTAGAGCAATGAGGTGAGCTGGGAGGGAGGAGAAGCTGCAAGAAGAGCATAGCTTTGCTGAAAGGGAAGGGCATAGAGGATGGACAAATGAATGGAAAGCCTCCTGAGGGCTCTTCCAGCCCTGTTTTCCCATGGGATAAGAGAGGAACGTCTGGATGGAGTTCTGCATTGAGCTTGATTTCATCCTGCAGCTAAGGCAGAAAGACTCAGGATGTTTCAAATCAGCAATGGGTGTTCAGCTTTCAGCTTCCCCTCAACCCTTGTTATTGGATTGCCTTTGTTCCATCCCAGTTCGGAATGGCATCTGGTGTGTTTGCTGGTGCTATTCCTGCTGCCTTGGCTGGGAAGGACTTACCTTTCTCTCCCCCTGTTTTAGGCTGTGGCTGCGGCCGCACAGGCTGGGCTCCTCCAGCAGCAGGCAGAGTTAGAGAGGAAGGCAGCTGAGCTGGAGAAGAAGGAAAGGGAATTACAGAGTCACGCAGCCAGCATTGATCGTGAGTACAGCTTCCTGCAATACCCCATCCAGTGGGATGCCAGGGAAGCCTGGGACACTTGGCTTGGCAGGATCTGATGAAGGCTCAGCCTGTCCATGTGTCTCGAGCTGGGACAATCCTCTTGGCATTGTACCTGTCATCCCATAACGTACAAGATGGGAACTGAGCTCAACGATGAGGTGCTGGAGACCAGCTCTGGTGGGTCTCTGCCCTCCAGCATGGTCTCAGCACCTGCGTTTGGCCACGTTAAGCTCTTCCAACACTGGTTTTGTGTCATGGCTGAGGTGGTGTGTGATGCTGCCATGTTAAAGCTTTTCACTGAGAGCAAGAAAGCTTTTTTCCCCCACTCTTGAGGCTCTTTTAACCACAGCAAAACTGTATTTCCCCCTAATCTTGTTTTTAAATGGCTGAAGAGCAAGTGAAGAACTACTCCTTTCTCCTTCCCACAGCGAGGCAGAACAACTGGCCACCTCTTCCCAAGAAGTGTCCCATCAAGCCGTGCTTTTACCAGGATTTTTCTGCAGACATCCCAGCTGACTACCAGCGGATATGCAAGATGCTCTATTACTTGTGGATGTGTAAGTAATAGCTTGAGCTGCAAGAAAACTTCTTCCTAAGAAGGTTCTGTGTCAAATGCTGAGCTTTACCCTACAGTCACTTCTGCAGGTGTTGTCTGCAAGGGTGACATAATATCTCCCTTGTTTAGGAAGGACAGAGCAGGTCAGAGCTTGGGTCCAAAACAGTCTCAACCTTATTTGTCACTTCTGATGCCCTGAAAAAGATTTAAGATGGAGTTGTAAGCAGCAGGATCAGATGAGGCTCAGCTTAAGCTCTGCTTTCTTTCAGAGGAGGCAAGGCATCAAGGGACTCTTCATCAGGGACTGGAGCAATAGGACAAGGGGTGAAGGTTTCAAACTGAAATAGAGGAGATTCAGGTTAGATCTAAGGCAGAAGCTCTTCCCTGTGAGGGTGCTGAGGCGCTGGCACAGGGTATCCAGAGGAGCTGTGGCTGCCCCATCCCTGGCAGTGTTCAAGGGCAGGTTGGACACAGGGGCTTGGAGCAACCTGCTCTGGTGGAAGGTGTCCCTGCCCATGGCAGGGGTTGGAACTAGGTGACCTTTAAGGTCCCTTCAACCCAAACCATTCCATGATTCTATAAATAAGAGGTCCTGAAGCATCCTCATGTTTTGCAGAGCTCCATGTGTTCCGTGAGGGATTTTGGATGCTTCAGAGTTTTCCAGGAACTTACTGATGCTTGTTTTCTCTCTCTTTCCCATCCTGAACAGTGCATTCGATAACCCTGCTCCTCAACCTGCTCGCTTGCCTGGCGTGGTTCACAGTGCAGACGGAGAGAGGAGTAGACTTCGGTCTCTCCATCCTGTGGTTTATTTTATTCACCCCTTGTGCCTTTCTCTGTTGGTACCGACCGATTTACAAGGCTTTCAGGCAAGTTCTGTTTTCTTCTGGAACAGGGAGAAAGCTTTTAGTGGGAGGAACTTTGGGTTTATCTGCTCCCATCATGTGTTGCCTGCAGGATTCTTCCAGCTCTTTGCTTCATTAAATAGATCAAACCCACTTGTTCCTAAACATACCAGAAGTATCTATAAAGGAGTTCACTGAAGATGTTCACCCTGCTTATGGCAAAGGGGGTCTGTGCAGGGCTCGTGTCCCTGGGTTTCACTCCTGCTCCATCTCTCCTGCAGGTCTGACAGCTCCTTCAGCTTCTTCGTCTTCTTTTTCATCTTCTTCTGCCAAATAGCAATCTACGTCATCCAGGCTGTCGAAAACAGGTGAGCTTGGCTTTACACCCACTGCGTGACAGCCCTGCCTGGCTGCTTTTTCTCACCAAGGCTGTGACTGGCAGAGCTGTGGGGTCCGTTTCTGACAGCTGCCTGTTCCTTCTCCCATGGTTTTCCACTCTCGTCCTGGCAGATCCCAGCTGGGCTCTTCCCATCCTAGCCCCAGCAAAGGCACATGGCTTGCCTGTCGCTGCTGCATTCCCCCTCACTTAATACATCTAGTACTTATTCCCTCGTGATGCTGAGCCTCTGGTGTCGACCATGTCTGTGTTAAAGTGGAGCCTTCCCCAAAAGAGGCTGTAGCATGGGGTGAGGGATCCCTCATCCAGGGTCTGGGTACAGCTTCACTCCATACTCCTGCCACCAGCCTAATCATGGAATCAACCAGGTTGGAAAAGACCTTTAAGCTCATCAAGTCCAACCTTTACCTCAGCACTGCCAAGGCCACCACTAACCCATGGCACTAAATGGTGACACTTAATCACTGATGCTGACCCCAAACTGTTCCTGGATTTCTCTTGAGCATGTTGATGGTGGGTTGTGCTTCAAGCAACACACGGAGCGGGTTTTGCCCTCGCCCTTTCTTGATGGCACTGTGCAGAAGGCTGAGGCTGGGCTCCTGCAGTGCCCCTGCAGTTAGAGCACAGCCTTTCTTTTCGCCTTGCTGCTCAGATTCCAGCCTCACTGAACACCACAAAGGTCAGCAGCCAGTGGCACTTCTCCTGAGGGGGAGCCTTCAGGAGCTGAGCACAGGGAATCTCTCTCTATTTTAGCCCACTGCCTGCAGAACAGCTCATGGGCAAAGCCGTCCTTGTGCTCCCTCCCCTGCTCCTCGTGCTGCCGTAGTGGTGGGGACTGGGAGGGGGCTCTTCCCTTTCAGTGTGATGTGGGGAGCGTGCCTCAAGCCTGCTGCTGCCTCTCCCTCAGCCAGGCAGCACATTTATTTTTGGCTGTAGCTCGTGGTGTGCCTCTCCTTGTAACGAGGATGGAGTTGTGCAGCACATCTCGTGGGACGCTTTGGCTCACTTGATTCCCCCTCTTCTCGTGGCACACGGCTTGCTTGCTTTAGCAGTTGGAGAGATTCCTTTCTCCAACACCCAGGAGGGTATTTTTGACCAAAGCCAAGCACTGATAAATCCAAGCATCCCCCCTGCCCCTTCCACAAGTGCCAGGTTCCTCCTATCTGTAGTTCTAACTTCATCCCTTCCTTCCTCATCCTCTCCCTCCCCCTCCTAACACTTATATCCCTGGCCATGCAGAGCTGTCATGGGGATATGTAGGTCTGGGCTCCAGATCTTCCAATTTAGATGTCCCAGCCTATCTTCACACGTCTTAGCTGAATTTTGACAAGGTGCTTGTGGAAGTGATTTGATTTACAACAGCACCAAGGGTATTGATTTTGCAGCTTAAGGGGGTGCAGCAGAGGCCAGGGCTGTAACGCAGGTGGCGTGAGAATGACTCTCTTGTGTGGAGGTGGATTGCTTCCAAAAAGCGATAATGGAAACTGTCCCCAAGATCCTAGAATCCCAGACTGGTTTGTGTTGAAGGGACCTTAAAGCTCATCCAGTCCCAACCCCCTGCCA